TTGCATCCCTTAAGGTTCTTCTGCTGAATTTACTTTTAAATGTCCGGGGGTGGCCGAAAACGGGAAACAAAGTAGTATAAAAATGTTTACACAGTATGTAAATGTTGAGACTTGGTGTTGCCCTCTATAACCCTACTGTCCTAGGCAATGGCCTAAGTGTCCAATATGGTAAATACAGCCCCTGGCCCAACCCCATGCCCAGGGGAGGATGAAGCTGTTTACGGTTACTCTAGGGGGTGCTAAGGAGGGTTTACAACCAATGGAATTGCTCCTTATAGCACATAGGGATTGGATATGTGTTCCAAGGGATGCTGACCCATGAGGAGCAAGGGTTGGGATCTCCTCTTTCCAACTCTTCCTCCAGCCTAGGCACATACGTAGGGCACCGTTAGCATGCCAGGTGAGTTTCATAACACCCGTCCATAAGAGTGGAGACCAGTGCAATCCAGCCAACAACAGAAGGATGTGTTAACGCACCGAGGAACCCGAGAAACTGTGTTGACTTCTAAATCCCCTACATTGCCTAAACCCCCCCCTTCCTCCCTATCTCCATTTTTAATATCCCTTACCCCTGATAGCATCCCTGGACTCACCTCCTATTCCCTTTATATTACCCCTTACCCCTGATAGCATCACTGGACTCTTCTCCCTTTCCCTGGACTCTTCTCCCATTACCTTTATATTACCCCTTACCCCTGATAGCCTTCCTGGACTCTCCTCCCATTCCCTTTATATTACCCCTTACCCCTGATAGCATCACTGGACTCTTCTCCCTTTCCCTGTACTCTTCTCCCATTCCCTTTATATTACCCCTTACCCCTGATAGCATCCCTGGACTCACCTCCTATTCCCTTTATATTACCCCTTACCCCTGATAGCATACTCACCTCCTATTCCCTTTATATTACCCCATAGCCCTGATAGCATTCCTGGACTCACCTCCTATTCCCTTTATATTACCCCTTACCCCTGATAGCATTCCTGGACTCACCTCCCATTCCCTTTATATTACCCCTTACCCCTAATAGCATCCCTGGACTCTCCTCCCATTCCCTTTATATTACCCCTTACCCCTGATAGCATCCCTGGACTCACCTCCTATTCCCTTTATATTACCCCATAGCCCTGATAACCTTCCTGGACTCACCTCCTATTCCCTTTATATTACCCCTTACCCCTGATAGCATTCCTGTACTCACCTCCTATTCCCTTTATATTACCCCTTACCCCTGATAACCTTCCTGGACTCACCTCCTATTCCCTTTATATTACCCCATAGCCCTGATAACCTTCCTGGACTCACCTCCTATTCCCTTTATATTACCCCTTACCCCTGATAGCATACTCACCTCCTATTCCCTTTATATTACCCCATAGCCCTGATAGCATTCCTGGACTCACCTCCCATTCCCTTTATATTACCCCTTACCCCTGATAGCATCCATGGACTCTCCTCCCATTCCCTTTATATTACCCCTTACCCCTGATAGCATCCCTGGACTCACCTCCTATTCCCTTTATATTACCCCATAGCCCTGATAACCTTCCTGGACTCACCTCCTATTCCCTTTATATTACCCCTTACCCCTGATAGCATTCCTGTACTCACCTCCTATTCCCTTTATATTACCCCTTACCCCTGATAACCTTCCTGGACTCACCTCCTATTCCCTTTATGTAGCAGCCAGGAGATGAATAAGAGGGGAGTGCCATTTGAGTGACAGCTCTGAGTCTGCCGTGGCTGCTAGCGTCACATCCAAGATGGCGGCACCCAGCGGCAGTCTCAGGGCTTTTGGATGTACCAGGGAGGCTTTCACAGGTAAAGAACATGCCTAAAATACATGACATGCACATAGAATCCTATGCGAATATTGTTGAAATAAATGGTCTGGTGACAGGGTCTCTTTAGGGATACAACAGAACGGCCATTTTTTATTTTGGAAGGTTTTGAGAACTTTGCCCTATCTGTTATTTCTTCAGAGAATTGATATTTCCACCTAGATTGTGACACGGCCCGAGCTGTTATAAACAGGATGTGGCTTCAAGCCTGCAATGCAACAAAGTTATGTTTATAGACTGTCATAGAACTGAACCCCCGCTGCACAATAGAGGGGGTTCCACATGTCAAAGTGCAATGACAATGCAAAGGCAGACCTCAAACCAAAGGGCCACTAAGACCACTCAAGAGTGATTTTAGGACCCCAGGGTAAGGTATTCTTTATTGAGGGGCTCAACAATCCGTGGGGTATAAAGGGGGTAAATCCACGGGACAGCAATAGGGCACAGCGAGGAATAAGGTAACTAGATCACAGGGCAGCAATAGGGCACAGCGAGGAATAAGGTAACTAGATCACAGGGCAACAATAGGGCACAGCGAGGAATAAGGTAACTAGATCACAGGGCAACAATAGGGCACAGCGAGGAATAAGGTAACTAGATCACAGGGCAACAATAGGGCACAGCGAGGAATAAGGTAACTAGATCACAGGGCAACAATAGGGCACAGCGAGGAATAAGGTAACTAGATCACAGGGCAACAATAGGGCACAGCGAGGAATAAGGTAACTAGATCACAGGGCAACAATAGGGCACAGCGAGGAATAAGGTAACTAGATTAGAGGGTGGCAATTGGGCACAACAAGGGATAAGTCCAGAGACACAGGGCAGCAATCCAGGCACAGTCAGGCAGCAATATGGTGGAGCAACTATTAAGTCCAGGGCCACAAGCAACAATTGGGGCACAGTCAGGAACAGGCAGCAGTATGGTACAGCAATGTGCAATGTGCTGTACCATACTGCTGCCTGTTCCTGGCTGTGCCTGGATTATTGCCCTGTGACCCCGGACTTAATAGTGTGCTGTACCATACTGCTGCCTGTTCCTGGCTGTGCCTGGATTATTGCCCTGTGACCCCGGACTTAATAGTGTGCTGTACCATACTGCTGCCTGTTCCTGGCTGTGCCTGGATTATTGCCCTGTGACCCCGGACTTAATAGTGTGCTTACCATACTGCTGCCTGTCCCTGGCTGTGCCTGGATTGTTGCCCTGTGACCACGGACTTAATATTGTGCTTACCATACTGCTGCCTGTCCCTGGCTGTGCCCGGATTGTTGCCCTGTCACCCAGGACTTCATCATTGTTGTAGCGGAGTGCTGCCTGTCCCTGGCTGTGCCCGGTTTCTGGCCCTGTGACCCCAGACTTAATAATGTGCTGCACCATATTATTGCCCCGTGACCCCGGACCTAATAATGTGCTGTACCATACTACTGCCTGTTCCTGGCTGTGCCTGGATTGTTGCCCCGTGACCCTGGACTTAATACTAAGTCCGGGGTCACGGGGCAACAATCCGGGCACAGCCAGGGACAGGCAGCACAGACACAGGGCAGCAATGCAGTGCAGCGGGGTAGTTTACTCACACTTGCAACTTGCAGCAGCCGCTACTCAAGGGTCCAACAACAGGAGGTGGGTCAGAGGGGCACAGCGAGGCTCCAGGATCTGATGGGACAAGCTCTGTGCACCCGCCCACAGCTCGGGGTCCACACAGGCAGCAAAGGCACAGGATAGGATGTCTAGGCGTCCAAACAGCAGCTCAGATCTAATAAGGAACTACAAGTCCCAGCAGTCCCAATCACAGCAGAACTATATGTCCCAGCAGTTCCTTTGTCGTCCTAGTCTCCTGCTGGTATGGCTCTGCAGCCACGAGTTCTCTGCGCCCATCACTGGAGGTAACTGACACTTTCTGTCTATCACTCTTACATTGTATCTGGAGATCAGCAATCAGAGCTGTGACCAAATCCCCGGTGCTGAGGTGTCCGGCTCTCTCCTGGTACAATCAATTCTGAGCTGCCTGTTGAGTCTCCGGACCCCCCTATGTGCTCCCAGGACCACATCGATCAATATACGGATCAGATGATTGATTTCATTGTCATGTAACAAATGTTTTTAAATATTTGTTACAAACAGGAAACCTCACATATATTATTTGGGTCAATCCCCCATCCCATTAAGGCCCCCCCAAATGGATGACTGGTCTTGTCCCCACCCCCTCCTGTAATAAAGACCGCTCACTGCTGCTCTCTTCTTGTGCAGGGTGACTGGTCTTGTCTCCGCCCCCGCCTGTAATAACGACTGCTCACTGCTGCTCTCTTTTTGTGCAGGGTGACTGGTCTTGTCTCCGCCCCCTCCTGTAATAAAGACCGTTCACTGCTGCTCTCTTCTTGTGCAGGGTGACTGGTCTCGTCTCTGCCCCCTCCTGTAATAAAGACCGGTCACTGCTGCTCTCTCCTTGTGCAGGGTGACTGGTCTTGTCCCCGCCCCCGCCTGTAATAACAACCGCTCACTGCTGCTCTCTTCTTGTGCAGGGTGGCTGGTCTTGTCTCCGCCCCCCTCCTGTAATAACGACCGCTCACTGCTGCTCTCTCTCCTTGTGTAAGGTGACTGGTCTTGTCTCCGCCCCAAACATGCTTTGCGCGTGGCAGCCCATTCATTTGAATTGGCTGCCTGACGCACCAGAAAAGGTGCAATCACCATCTCAGACGGCAAACCGCAATGCACATGCACCAGCAAGATTCAGAATCAACGCCATCATGTTGTACCAATGCATGTAAAAAGGGTTGCCACGGATTACCACAATGTCATAGCGTGAACGAGTCCTGAGGGGTCCCTAATAGCAGCTTCTGGGTTTAATTGTGAAGTTAAAACAATACAATGTCTTTTTTTTTTCTAAAGCGCCGGCCACACTGAAATATCAATTCTGGGTGCACTGGCCCTTTAACAAATAATATGTGTACTTGCAAAAAAAATTTAAAAAATAGTTTTCCATTTCACGGGACAAAACATGCAAACCGGGTCTGTCCCTAGACGTCGGGGTCATTCATTTGGGCTCAGTGACCCTTCTGTGACTACACACACACAGACACCAGCACATTTCCTGGACACTGGCCCTTTAAAGCTTCCACCCCCCTGGTAACAGTAACCAGGCAGGGGCGGGCCCAGGAACCAGGAAGTGGCCTCCCACTTCAGGAAGTGCTGTGTATACACAAAGCTGGAGAGGGAGAAGATGGAGAGGAGCTTGTACGACACCGGGGGGACCTCCGACTCCGACTGGGGGGGTGAGAGGGGCAGATATTTATAATAATCTTACATGGTCACCAACCAATCAGCAGGGTTGGGGGGGTTCCGGCCTCGGGTCACATGACACAACAGCCATGCAATGACATTGCATTAGTCTTTACTTAAAGTGAACAAAGTCTCTGCTGATGTCGGTGCCCACAATGCAGAACCGACGCGGGTCATGTGACCTCGTGTTATGCAATGTTAGGTGTTGTTGGAAGTCAACTATAGTAA